TTTTTTTTTTTTAATAGTAATTTTATTGAGCAGTACAATTAAAAAGATAAGAACTAATACAAACTAAAAATAAAAGAATACAAAGAAAAATAGAAAGTGCAGGAAAGAAAGAAAGAAAGATATATATATAAAGAAATGACTGTCCCCTTCATAACAACAAGTATAAACAATGTTAGTAACATATCACCTTCTGTTAAAATACAACAAATGATCTTTTCTTCCCATATCTCATCTCTATCTATAAATAAATCTTTAAAGCGTTCAGTCCTGGTCAGCAAGTCCATTAAGGGTTACCAGAGATAACATATCTGTTTTAACCTTGATCAAATAAACCAACTTTATGTTCCTTCCTTTTTCTTTTAACAATCTTGGTCTTTTTATATTCCTTTCCTTTACTTTTAACAATCTTGATCCTTAATCCCCTCAAATAAAGTCCTGGAACATGATTTCTTTGCATTTTTTCTTCGTCCCTTCTCACAAAATTCTTCAAAGCTTTAACAAGCCTCTTTTGTAAATCCAGTATAAGAAAGTTATCCAAGTTACTCTTTTGGTTTGGTAAAACATCAACTGGTTTCATTTGTATATCCAGTGTAGCATTTCCTTCTACATCATTCCCATAGCTTGTCATTTTTAGATCCACTTTTGTCCCTGCAGTTTTCTTGGCAACATTCAGAATTGGTTCCCAGGGCTGAGAGGGAGGGACTGACCCAAGGCCACCCAGTTGACTTTGTGCCCAAGGTGTGACTAGAACCCACCGTCTCCTGATTTCTAGCCTAGTCCTTTTAACCACTTGATCAAACTGGCTCTCTGTTGACCTTTATGTCTTACTCATAATTTTGCTTTACTACTCAGCTGAAGCATAATCACTATCATTGAGATGGATGTCATTCTTAATACTAGCAGTTATACTTCCGGGCTTGCCTGGCTAAATCTGAGAACCAAAAACCCATGGAAGTACTGGGTATGCAAGCACAATGAAAAACAACAACAACAATAGCAATAACAACAACCAAACTCAAGAGCAATTATAAGCTTTAGGACAAAGAGGACTCATTGGCTGAAGGACACACTCAGCAAGAAAATTCACTACCTTAAGTTCAATGTAGATTACAGCTTTCAGGTTAAAGAGTTCCCAGTGGCAACTGTTTAAATTTAGGATATTTGAAAGATCAGTTAAAAGCTGCATAATGAGAGGAATAGAAATAGTGTTCCCTGCACAATTGTTTCCTGAGGGCTGGTGCAAAAAGTATTACTGGCACATTGTCAACTACACTGAGGCTTTGTTTAGGATGAGGCAGAACAAAGAGATTGATAGTCTGATTCTGACGAGAGAAAGGAAACCTTAAAGAGGTTATTTGTTTGAATTAAAGCAGAGGTAGGTAACTTTTTACAGGCTGGAGGAGATCACACTTGGTGCATTTGTGGAGGGCTTTGGTGCTGGTAACATCAGGAAGTCAATTGCTGTGAGAGGTGACTACATGGGATGGAGTACAGAAATATATTCAGTGATTATTTGTGAGAGAAGGCATGTCAAATAACGGCCCATGTTTGAGTTTATGTCCTCTTCTCTGTTTTTAAAAGTTTGAAGAGCAATCTGTTTTCTGCCAACAGTGACAGACATCTGTGTTCCCTTTTTGGCAATGCAGCTAATTGAATGAACTGGATGAAACTCTGAAAATCAAGTTGATTCCCAGAATAAAAGGTATATTTGCTCAAAACAGTCAAGGGGGTGGCTGCAACTGTGTGATCAAAGCTGTGCACCTTTTTCACACGCACAATGTGGTCACAATTGTCCTCTTAACTTTTCTGACCTCTCTGCAAATGCCCCAGAGCATCATTTTAACGTGTCCAAGTTGTTGCGTTATAAACAGCTGTTTCAAAGGTGAGTCATTTTTTTCTGCCAAAAGATGTCATTGGAAGTTATTTGGTTGAACAAGGATTTAGCAGACAGGCAGGCAGTTACACAGCTCCCTTTAATTTCTTCCATGGGGGAAACACATCTATAACTAGATTGTAACCTCATTATCAAGACAAGACCATTTCTCTAATGACAGCTTTCCAAGCCTCAAATTCTACTGCCCTCAAAAGGGAGTCTTGAATCAAGATATCATGCAGACAAAATCACCATGTATGGCACATCCATAAAAAGAGCCAGCATGTCTGAGTTTCTCTGGTTTCTGAAAACCAAGCCGACAGAACTTACACCACATTTTTGGAAATCACTAAATACCTATTGCACGAGTATTTGTCTTTTCCATGTTAGTTATCATTAAAAAATCTGGGAGAAGCTGTTTCTTTCTAACTCTGAGTCAAGCTTAAACCCTAATGGCTTTGTGGGCAAGTTCATGTAATGTTATTGGCAAGTAGTATGGAAGGAGTTGGCCGCTGCCTTCATCCAGGATGTTTGTCCGATTTTTCAGGCCGGCCTACAGCCCTGATATTTCCTGGGGCTCTCCCAACCAAGTACTAACCAGTATCAACCCTGCTTAGCTTTTTCTAGATTAGCCTAGGTCAGTCGGGTGTTGCCACTTAATAGAGCAGGTGGGAAGTTAAAATACTACAAATAAACAGTATTTATTCTATAGAATACCTCTGGACTCCCTATATTCCCCAGAGGCAGTCTTTGAAAATCAAAATGAGGGTGGACTGCATTGTTTCAAAGTTTGTTTAACTGTCCAGAAAAAAACGGCAGTGTGGAGAACATCCTGGGATGGCAGAGTGGGCAGGGGGAAGCAACTGTAGCGAACTGCCTTCTGGAAAATGGGTTTATTGGGCTCAAGCAGTGAAATGCAGCAACCATTTTGTGAGAGTGCTCCTAACACGACTTCCAAATTCCATGTATGCCCATGGGCTCAAAAAAAGTTGGGACCTCTGCCGTAATATTGCCATCCCGTGGTGCAAAGGGATAGAATGAGCAATCCTGCCCTCTACTCCTTAACCCAGGAGAAACTGCATTTCTTTCACTGATGTTTTGGGGACTGTGGGACATACAGCCCATTCATGCCTTTGTGGGAATGGGAAATGCCTTTGCTGTTCTTCCAAAATGCCTCAGCTGAGGCCTGTTTTCAAATCAGCGACTTCCCCCCAACTCTTCTCCTTTCTGGTGAGTGATTTTTTTCCCCTCCTGCTGATAGCACCAACTCTTCACCCACGTCCCGATTTGTCTCTTACGCCCGTGCACACACATACACTTCTTGGCTGCCCATTTATCTCCCTCTGTCACCACCCATGGCAGCTCTAATATAACTGCTAGGCAGGTATTGAGCAGCGAGATGAGCAGGTGTGAGAAAGGACCAGGCGCAACTGTCACTAGCTTGGCAGGAGAAGATGGATGGTGAGAAAAGGAGGACCATGTCCCAGAGCCTGAAGGCTAAGCAGGAGGGGAAGGAAGACCAGACAGCTGCTCCTGTACTAGCCCACTTTTCTTCTTCAGTGGGCTTAATCTGGAAAGGCTATTATACACATAGATGCTATTATCTCCCCTTGACTTTTATACATGCCTGGGGCTCACCCAAAATCTACCCCAGATTTTGAAATCTCCTTGGCCAGGATGGCCTCAGTGAGTGATACCCCACTACTACTCTCCACATTGCCCATTCACTTGCCATCTCCATGCCCTTGCCGTTGCCCAGGCAGTAATATGTAAGAAGGGAGGACCAAGGTGCCCTGATGGCACCTGGATGTGTCAATCATCCTCAGAGTTTAGCTCATAACTGTTTCTCCCTTTTGAATTACCATTTTGCATCTGTCTCAGCCTACCCCTAATTCAGACTTTGTATCTTTCTCCAGATGTGGAGTATGAAAGCCAAGTACATTTCACAGATCTAAGTAAAAATATATACAGACTAGGGAAGACCTACTCCAGGGAACTGGAAGGAGTGAATTTTGAATTAAAACGAATGTATTTGAGGAGATAATATAGGAGAAGAATAAAACATGTTTATGGACCCAGTGAAAGTGCAATTCCAGAGAAATGGCAACATATGGGTCATAACTTTGAACAGTTTAGCATTCTCATATGAGATATCTACAACATTATGGCTGGATTTTCAAAATGCACTAAGCCATCACATGAATGGTTTGGGTTTAGTGCTATTGTAGTTTATTCAACAAACTAGGATTAAATAAACCAATTTAATAAAGTGTAGAAACTCAATCATTGCAAAGCCAACTTCCTAGGCCAATTGTACAGTAAAAGATGTGGCCAAAACAGCCAGCTTTGTACCACATAAGATTAAGGTCTCCTCCTTTGAATTAATTTTTTTTATGAATAATTTGTATTAAAAGGTTTTTCCATAGATTTAAAAAACTACAGAAACATAGAAGAAATAGAAAAATGAAAAAGATTATAAAAGGGTAAAAAAATCAGTGAAGAATAACAAAAAAAGCAAGAAAAAGAAAGTTATCTAAAGTAGCAACTTCCGATCTTCTTTGCAGCAGTTGCAAGCATAGCAATTACCATCTCCACCCTTCCATATTGCATATAGTTTCCTTCCTCCCATAAAGAAACCTTTTAATCAATACATCTCAAAATCAGCAGTTCATATTTATCCATTTTCAGTAAAACTCTATAAAGGTTTGCAGTCTTTTATAAAAGTATCGGTAGTTCCCCCCCTTAATCCGCCTTTGAATTAATGAAGCCTGCAAGTCTGTGAACATGAACCAGAGAACACTCATAGTAGATTCAAAGTTTATGTGGCAAGCTTATGCATCTTGCCCTGGCTTCTCTCTCTCTCTGATTCCAGTTATCTAAGAACAAGGGAAAAGCCATTTAATTATATAGAGTTTATTATGTTTTCTGATGGATCTTTGGGGGTATTAGGTGCCAGCTGTGCTTTAGATGTCCCTGGCAACCAAAAGTAACACTACTCTGAATATCTACTCCACAGATTCCCCGGATAACGTTCCTGGAAAAGAGAATGGCCTTAGCCACTTGGCAGCTGACAACAGGATGCAAAGAAAGTTAGGTTGGGGAGAAGACAGGTCCTATGCCTGTAATAGTTTCTTGTCTAGCAAAGAAAATGTACAAAGCTATTCCACCCTGCTGTTAAACTGCCAGGGGTAAGAAAAACTGTATTTGCTAAACTCTTCTCTTCTGTACAACATGGAAAGGCACTCAAGAACTGACCAGAAGCTCGCTGCTCGCTTGACGCTAACCACAGACTTGGACTCTTCCATCAGGGCTTCTGTTTCTCTTCCTATGAGAAACGCTAACAACAATTAGAGCTGTCATGCCCACTGTACCTCAGAGGCAGCTTTTTGCCCTCTGGCTTTAGCAATATTATTTCAGCCCAGGAGGTGGTCCCAGGACTACTGCCCCTGGTCACCTGCTCATCGGGCTCATTAATCGATGGGCGTTGGCTGCATGGATGTGAGCACCAGATGACTCCAGCATGTGCTGCTTTGCTCGCCAAATCACCCAACCAAGCCTTTATCTGATTCACCCTCCTCCCTGCCTTGCTGCTCATTGGAGGGAGTTAAAACCTCTCTTGATACGTGTCCACCACTAGCCCCCCAGCCCTGCAGTGATGGAAAATAAAATCGCTCACACCATCCTGGAGATCCTGCTCAGAACATTACGGAGCAGGATGTGGCAAGACTGAGAAGAGAATGAACTGAACAAGGCAGAGTCTTCCCAGGGCCTTCCAGCTGCATACAATGTCAGGTAATGTTTACTGGGGACTGCCGGACCCAGCAACGCACTCATCAGTGCTTTGGATCTTGGTGGTTTTCTCTTTGGGCATTTTGATTTCTTCTATATGAGCCACGAGGTTCTCCTAGTGCTAGGACAGACAGGGAGGCAGTTATTGTGGTAAAGCTGCTTCCCCAACCTAGTGCTATACAGAAGTGTTGGACTACAACTCCCATCATCCCAGATCTAAAGGTTGGGAACAGCTGCATTAATGCCATCTTGCTCTTGCATTGCTATGCAGAGGAGCAGCATGGTTGACACTTGCGAGCTGGGCCTTTCCTGGGATAATATTCCATGTGTAGCTGCTCAGCAAAATCCTTGGACGCTGGAGATAGTAAGGTAACATCTCTTTTGCCTAGGCCAGTTGGGAATCCTAAGAGTTGAAGTCTGGGTCATCTCAAGGGAAGTCTGTTCTAAAGCTTCACCGGGAAGGTACTGATGCTGCAAAAATCTGAGTCAGTCCTCATGAGTGTCTGGAGGCGCTGCTATACCTAGAAAACAATGGGGACATTAAGCTAAAGGGGTTGTGGTAGTGGTGGGTGGAGCCCTTTGTTCCTATCACTATATGGGGAGGGCACACATGATTAAGCCACAATAATGAATTCATTTAGTTACATGCTTGTGTGCTTTTAAATGCCACCAATGGGATGAAATACGGCAAATGCCTAGGAAGGAAGTGGTGGGAGTTGCCATTTCCTGAAGCCATGATCACTTCAGTTGGAATCCTGAAGCAGTGGGAATGATAGCATATGTGTCCTTGCAGAGAAAGGTAGGCACACCTTGGCTTCTAGCAGGGAAGGCAGGTGAGGTGGTAGGGTCTCTCTGCTGGAAACCTTAGGTGCATCTTCCAACAGCCGTACCCAACTGGCAGTTCTACCCAGTGACTCTTCCTTTGGGAGAATTTGCAGGGCTGTGAGCATTGGCTGTAGTGGCTGGAAGGTGCTTGGAGCAGAATCCAACCAGCTCCTTTTTCCCCCCTGGTTCTTATTATTATTTGCAGCCCTCGAGAGCTGCAAGAGGATGATGCTCATGTGATGGATGGGATCATTTTTAAAAACCATTTTGACTGGAGAGATGCTAAACAAAGTTGATACATTAAACTCCCCATATAACTGAGGAGGTTCAGTTTGTTTTCTTTTGTAAAGAAAACCAAATTGTGATGCAAACCACCCCCACCCCCCTTTTTTACTATTGAAATATGGCAATGTAATCCAGGAGGTTGTAAAGCTGAATCTGGGGGCCGTATGTGCGCAATGAGCCATGAGCTGACCCTCCTTGTTTTAAGGGAATTTGCTGGGGTGGATGGCCTTGAACTCTCCTGATGTTCTCAGACACAGGGAAATGGAAGGAGGTTAGACAAGGAAGTCACAGGTAGATGAACACTAAAAGAATAGCAAACCGGCTTGAGCTTTGCTTGTAATAACATAGTCACAAGTTTTTCAGGGTTCTGGGGAAAGCACAAGTGTGTGAATTGATGGCTGGAGAGATTAAATACATCTCTCCAGAAACCTTTGGATTGCTGTATAGGATCAATACAACCGAACTCAATACTGCATTACCCATATTGCCTGTAGCACTGGGTCCTCAACCATTAGCAGTGAAACAGAGACAGCAAAATATGTCAGCCTTGCGAGGTAGTCCAGACAGGAAGCACAGCCAGATGAGCTAATTCTACTTTATTGTAAAGTTATATTAACAGAATCTTGCAAATCTGAAAGTACGTTTCTCTCCCATCGCCTTTACAGTCCAAGAAACTAGGGAGGGTCCCTTCTCAGATGTTTGCCATTCCCACATTTGTTCTTTGGGCTAAGCTGCCTCTTATCTGACCATTCCCCTGGCTGTGGCTCTTCTCCCTGCCTCCCAAGGTCATTCCCACATACCATTGCAAAACATTCCTTGCATTTTTGAGGGCCTGCTTTAAAATATATAGATAAATTATACATGTAATTTTTCTGAGGGCTATAGATAGGGATGAAGAAAACAAGGGAGAACCTAAGAGAAGATTTGCACAAAAAGAGCAGGACATTAATCTCCTCAGCTTCTGAACTGGGCTGTACCAGATTCTTCTTGCATACAACAGAAAGATATCCCAGGACCAGGTATTTGCCATAGCCCTGTGGTGGTGACTCTGCATGGCTGAACCTAGATCGCTAGTCAAACAGCCCTGAGGTAAAGTCCCCCTTGATTCAGACTTGACTCTGTGAATTTCATGGACCTGTATGTATATTTTTCTTGCCTTTGCTTCCTTCCCAGATTTTTTTTTTAAAACTTTCAATCCTCGTATTTCTTGGTTGTCTCCCATCCGAACACTAAATATGTTCAACCTTGTTTAGCTTTTTAAGATCAACCCAAATTAGCTAGGTGCTGCCACCTAGATGGGCATATCAAACAGTTTTAGGAAGTGAAAGTTAGTTTCTTTATCCCAAAGGAATTGCAGTTCTAATTAGATCTGGACAAAATGCAATTATTTTGAATATTTCATTTAAAGTTTGGAGCCAAAAGGTAGTACATAAAAAATAAGTATTATGCATAAACAAACTTATTTGGGAAGAGAAGACTTAAAGCAATATGTATATAAAAAGGGAAAAGGAAAATGGAGTAAGGAAACCACAAGATGGAGTAGTTGCTACATGCAAAGATTAATTTAAAGTTTACAAGGCTCTAGTGGAAAAAGCAATGTGAAAAGAAACTAAGTTAAAGCATTAAGATAAATAAGATATTACAACCATTAATTGATAAAGACTGATGGTAATAATTGATTTGTTGTTGGACAGAACAATCTTAACTCCTAGTTTCCTAACAGGGGCTGCATGGGGTGACAGTCTTTCACATCAGCTGTAGGGAGTGTGCCCTGATGGTCTAGATCTGCTCAAAGAAAACTCAGTGCCATAAAGCTATCAACAGCTGGGTGGTTCACATCAGCAATACTAATCTAAAGAAATGATAAAGCCATGTTTGGATCTTCTGGATCCAGAACAGCTCCTTTCTTCTAGCAGATTTCTCATTGGTCCTCCCAGGTACTCCAGCTTGGAGCTCACACAGCTAATCCCACTAGCACTTCCAATGTGGGAAGTACTGTTGGGGCTTCAGCTAAAAAGATCCACCAGGCTGTGAAGCCCCGCAAAACAGTCCTCACTCCTGCTCCAGCACCCATGAGGTATCAAGGCTTGGGTTTAAGCAGTAGATTTTCTTCTTTGTTGCTCTCTGATCCCACTTTATTGCACCATAACTCTGAGTTCACCTAACGTTCCTCCAGCTTGGCTAAGAAAATACAACTCTAGAATTTCCTGAAGTTTGGCTGAGAGAGAGAGAGAAAGAAAAAAAGAGAGAAGGAGAAAGAGAGAGAGAGAGGAAATTATAATTACCTGCTCCATAGCTGAGATTCAAGCGACAAACTCTTGTAGGCTCTAGTGAAAATGTTGAAACTACAATTGAAAGTCCAAAGTACAGACTTCAGGAATGTCCTGATAGAAAATTAAACCAAATGAAGCTGAGAGGGAAAAAAAATAAAAATAAAATGCTGGAACCTGAATCTCATAACCTGAATATTCATAACACAGGGGGGAAAAATTTCACAACTGAAAGGAAAACTGAATTACTGCCAAATTCTTCATGACCCAAATATCCAACTTCAGAAAGCTAGTTCAGAAAAACAGTCAAGAATAGCCTTGACACAGAAAGAACATTTTCACAGCAGGAAAATCATTCTTCTACAAAGAAAAAGCCTAAAGCAATTTCTCCTTAAGGGACCTCAAAAAAGTAAAACAGTAAAACTATCCAAAGGAATACTAAATAAAGGAGAAAGATGGAGCCCCAGTAGTGAGCCGTGGTTTCTTTTAATCTCCCAACACTTCAGGTTTTCTTGCCAGTGCAACCTTTTATTTCTTCCTCTCTTTTTTCAGTTAAAATTTAGTGTCGATCTGGATGGATAAATGGATGACTGAAAAGTTAAGGGCCAGAAACCAGGAAAAGTATCAACTTCCCCTTGTGAAAGAGGATGGCAATAATGTATTCCCATGATCTACAGAAGACAGTGTGACAAATTATTAAACTTTTCTTATACTATCTCTGCCACGTGATTTGCTAGAAGCTTTCTCAGCATAACTCTTTCTTTCCTGATTCAAGGGGCCTTTTCCCCATTGCTGAGTTGAAGGTCTCTCTATCCATCCTTGAGTCCGAAGAAAATTACCAACATAAAATTTGCTATCCCCACTGCTAATCTCTTTCAGGCCTCTTATTTTCATGTCACTGCAACCACCTGATTTCCCAGCAACGGAATACAGGACAAAACTTAACAGATTTTACACATGGTGAGGCTGGCCTTAGACCTGTGTTTCTGGCAAATTTAAGATGCGTGGACTTCAACTCTCAGAATTCCCCAGCCAACATGGCTGGCTGGGGAATTCTGGCAGTTGAAGTCCACACATGTTAAAGTTGCTAAGGTTGAGAAATGCTGCCTTAGACAATGTCAGAATACAGGGAGAAGCATTGTTTTAATACTGACATGGCCAATAATGAGTTAAGCCTCTCTCATTCCTGAACTGTGAACCAGATGAAGGCAATGTTGTAGAGATACAGCCAAAGGAAGTGGCTGGAGCATTTGGTGGCACAGCAACATGCAAATGGGGGAAGGACCTCTGAATCCAGGCAAAGTAGGAACTTTATCCTCAAAACAGCAGGCGTGTTTTGAGAATCAAATTTTGCTCCCTTTCCATCCTATGGCTCTCTTGCAAGCTACCTGTATCCCTGTACAGACAGTCCCCTACTTACGAACTTTCGAGTTGTGAACTTTCAACGATACGAATAAGATGGACCCGGAAGTCAGAAGGCAGGAAAGGGTTAGTTTCTGGCACACTGCAGATTAACCCTTTCCCACTTTCTCCCACCTTCCGGGAGGTTGGAGTTTGGAGTTAGAGTTCCTGGAAAGGGTTAGTTTACTGGGTGACGCAGGAGAGGTGGCGGTGGCTCCCCGGGCGAAGGAATGAACTGGTGGGGCACGGCATGGCCTGCTCTGTCACCATCCTGGCTCATCTGGGAATGGAGTGCACTGCACCCCACCAGCTCATCCCACTGCGCTTTCCAGAGTCTCCATACTATCACTCTTTGCATTGGCAGCAGAAGGCAGGGCTCCTCTGCCCACCCCGCTGTCCTGCCTCCTCCTCTTTTTTTTACTTTTTACAGTACTTTTTACTTGGTTGGGCTTATGAACAAAACGGACTTATGAACAACCTCTTGGAACGTAACCTGTTCATAAGTAGGGGACTGTCTGTAAAAGCAACCTGAAACAGAAAGGGCATCACCCACCCACTTCTGTAGCGCTCAAGAGGTTTGGATAATGAAGAATTTGTCTGGATGGATCATGTGTTGTTTTTGGGTGTGATTCCCTACACTCACTTTCCCTCTGACAAAGCTGGTTTCACAGAATCTAATGTGGTTCAGCATGTTGTGGGAACTGAGCTATTGTCTTAGTTTATTGTGTGAACTAAGCCATCATGCTGATCTATAATATTGTTTACTTGTTTGGACACAGTATGTTATGTGATCATACTAACTGTGTTTTGCTAATCCAAGTTTAGTGTTCAATGTGTTGTGTGAATCCTTGGTGAAGCACTGGGATTTTAGCTGCTTCCAGGAGGACAATTCCTAGTACAATCAATCAAAAAACCCAGTGCACTTTTCCATCTTCTCTTAATTGAGGAAAGCATTCTATTTCAGCTCATCCCCTTGGGATATGGCACATTCATTGAGGTCTGCTAAAATGGCATGAGAGTCCCATTCGCAATTTACACAGTGACAAGAGTACATGGTCTTTGCAATTGCATCAGGGTCTCATCTCAGCTGGATCTTCAGAAGATGCTGGTACGGTCTTCTCCTTCTGTTTTGAAGGACATAGCTCAGCCTTCAAACTTATTTTTAAATTCATAACTCAGTCTTAGAACATGTACTGATGTTTTTAGGAAAGGACACCTCTGAGTATGTGCAGACATAATTACTTATAATCAGTGAATAAGCACCATTCCCAATCATTTGCAGTGAGGGGCCAGGACTTCCATGTTAGGTAGATACACATGTTCTGGCATCTCCCCCTTCAGAAATTAACAACAGCATAAGAGTTTAGAAACAGCAGGCATGTTCTGAGAATCAAATTTTGCTCCCATTCCATCCTATGGCTCTCTTGCAAGCTACCTGTACCCTTGTAAAAGCAACCTGAAACAGAAAGGGCATCACCCACCCACCCATTCATGATTAGTCTTCTAATCTGGTTGGAATTCAGAGAAAAGCAAATGCCATCTGCAACAAATACATTTATATTCATCTAAACAATTCTTCCCTGCTTTTCAATTTAAAAACAAAAAACAAAACCCACAGGAGAATTGGAACAGAGGTTTACTTTTAGAAGAAAAAGCCCCAAGCTCTATTACGACAAGCATTTTTTCTAAGCACACATTCAACAGCTAGTATCACTGAGCTCTGGGGGGGGATATTGCTGAGACATCTGTGTGAGGTTGTGCTTCAGCATAACCCAAGACTGAGTGTCACTGAGAGGCAGTTGCAAGTCACAAACCACAGTCTAAAATAAAGTCAGTTTACATCCCACCCTTGTGATTATCCCACTAGCCTGTAACCACTTTTTATACAGAATAATACAAACTTTGGTTGAGTTATTCTTTAGCTAAAAAGATGACCTGATAGTTTCCTTTTGCACTCTTACAACATTGGGGGTGGGGGTGTGTGGAATAAACTAATACATTAGGAAAAAAATTAATTGTGCACATATGATTGGGGCATGATATTACTTAGGTCATCTATTTTGTCTGTAGGGATTAGGAGCATGAAATTCAGCCCCACTCCATCCTTCAAAGTTAATCCACAACTTTAAGAAAACAGAATATCCATAGAGGGATGCAATTATTATTTCTGTGGTTCCCATTCATCTGGGTCTATACAGAAAAGTACTGGGGGTTCTTCCAAAGAGGTAGCTACTTCAATGAAAGCCAACATTCAACTGGTGTAGACTAAGCTGCAGTGGCACGCTTAAAATGTGACAATGATCTTCCCCCATGGCCAGGGATTTTTCTGAATCCTGATTCTCCCACTGATGCTTATGGAAGGCTGGTCTCTGAGGCATCTGGAGCTGATGCTGTGGTTTTCTTCTTTCTAGCATTCATTGCCGCCAGTCTGAGTGTACTGACCTCTGAGGGATGCCCCTTCTCCCCCAGCCCTGTGGCTGCATCCTGTCTGCTGGGGACAGCAGCAGACTTTGAGCAATATGGGACGGATGGAGCAGGGAAGCAAGATGGGAGCTCCCAGTTAGCCAGGAAAAACCAATGTGTGTCTGGCGTCACCGTGCAGCTGGAAATGAGGAGTCTTTGGGAGGAGTTCAACAGCCTTGGCACTGAGATGATTGTCACCAAGGCAGGACGGTAGGTGTCATGCTTTTGGGATCGCAGGTGCAGGCACCATGGCCACAGGGCTGGAGAAACACAGCTTTCATCTAGTGCAGCGTCTCTCAGTCTCAGTGCCTTTAAGATGTATGGACTTCAACTCTCAGATTTCCCTAGCCAGCATGCTGAAGTTGAAGTCTACGCATCTTAAAGGCGCTGAGATTGAGAATCATTGATCTAGTGAGTGACTAAACAGGGACTAGAGAAATCATTGGCCTCTTCTAGCCTGACAAGGCCCGTGACTATTGAGGGAGGGAGGGAGGGAGGGAGGGACCCATCTTGACTCCTGGCACCTACATGGACAGGTTCCAGCAGTTTTCTCGGCACCTTTTTTTGGAAGTGGTTTGCCATTGCCTCTTTCCTAGGACTGAGGGGAGGGATTGGCCTTAGGTGACCTAGCTGGATTCCTGCCTAAGGCAGGGTTAGAACGCACAGGCGCCTGGTTTCTAGCCCAGTGCCTTTAATCGCTACACCAAAATGGCCCTCAACGTTAAATTATAATGCCCTAAATAAGTCTCCCTATAATGTGAACCCTCTAAATCTAAGCAGTCTTTAAGTAAGCATTGGCAACTACCAGCAGTGGGGAGGGAGGGGGCAGTACAGGTTCGCTTAAAGTGGTAGAGGGGACCAGGGATAGTGCAGCTGCCTGGCTGAACTGTGCCTTTGATTAAATATTGCAAAGCAAGTTTATTTAAATGGACTAAATTAAGCTTCAAATTACACATTGTACCGAATAATGCTGTGCAAAGCATTTGAAAGAGCTGCTTTGCAAAGCTCATTTGCAGGAAGAAAACCTTCTCTCTGAAGCATTTGGAAGATCTGCATAGCTGCGTCAACAGCTTCTGTGGTTGCCTCTGCACCCGTGTGTGTTCACGGGCACTTTCTTTCACCAGCAGACCAGAGGAAGTATTGCTGGTTCACGCACATGTAGACAACTAGGTAAAGCTTTCAAAGCCGACATGCAATGGCATTGCTCTGGTGCCACAGCCTCAACCAACTTAAGATGATGCCAAGTTGCAATAAACCACTTTTATGTGGCTCTGTA